GGATTTTCCATAATTCAGCTACGCAGATTTCAAAAATAATATTAATTTTTTTCTATACGTAAGGATTTTATACAAATCTGGAAGAAGTAAAAAGTCGTACTTAGATCAAATTATTATCTTGTTTACCACAATGAACATTTTTTTATTATTATGTTTGTTAACAAAAATACAATCCACTCTTCTTTCTCAACTTTCTTCATTTTTCTTTCGAACTGTTCATTCGAAGTCAATTTCCCCAAGACAAATCATGGGCTCGGCATAAAGTTTGCACCGTTTGAGTCAAAGAGTTCAGACAATGGACTAAAGGTAAGAAAAAGCCTTTGCCTTTTGGAATTCCAATAGTTTGGCATGAGCCTAGAAACCACGGAGATGACTGTTGTTTTTGCTCATGTAACGTGCAAGGTTACAACACTCGAAATAAAAAGAAAATTGCTTATCCGAACCTCCAATCTGCTGTAAGACCTGTTGCTCATGGACCTGTAGCTTCTCCACCCGAGACTCTTGATTTAGCTTCATCTGATTCTGATGTCAATAAAAATGATGTAGGGATTGTTTTCAACCTGAAACGTCTGGTGAACCACAACTTTTAAGGTGAACTTAATGATTTGGTGAGAGATTTGGGCCTTCCAAAGGATTCTTCAGAGATTTCGGAGTCCAAACTTTTGGCTAGGAACTTACTTTCTCCAGAGACATCATTTTACTGGTAGAGAAATCATGAGAAAGAGTTGATACCATACTTTTCACAAGAAGGTTCACTGGTTTATTTAGTTGCAGTATATGAACCAAGTGAGTGGCGATTGTTCATTGATTCCTCCAAAAGAAGTCTAAGAAGTGTTCTCCTTCACAATAGTAACATATATGCATCTGTTCCTATTGCTCATTCGGTTCACTTAAAGGAAACGTACGAAAATTTCGATCTTCTTCTTAATATGGTCAAATACAAAGAACGTGGTTGGCTACTTTGTGGAGTCCTTTGTATGTTCATGGATCAACAACCCAATTATACAATGTTTTCATGTTTTTTGTGTGAATTGGATAGTAGAGCACGATATCAGCACTGGATAAAGAAGCAATGGCCACTCAGAGTTAACCTGATAACAGGATCGAAAAACATTTAACGTGAAAGTTTGATTGACACAAAGAAAGTCTTGTTACCTCCACTTTACATAAAACTGGGCTTAATGAAGCAGTTTGTAAAGGCCTTAGACAAAGATGGCGACTGTTTCAAGTATCTATGTGGGCAATCCCAAGATCTTTCAGAAGCGAAACTTAAAGAAAGGGTTTTTGTTGGATCTCAGATTATCCCCAAGTTTTATTCCAAAATACGCGCAATACGCTTTTTTGACGAATTCTTTAATGTTTCTTCGTTGTTTCTTTACAACAAATTTACCACAAATATAACACAATATGTCTGTGTCATTTACACAACCTCTTGATGCCATAGCGACGAATAAATAATATTGAAAAGAAAAAATAATGTCAAAGTGCACGCACCCCAGGAAATGAACCTTACTTTGTAGCAGATGACCCAAGTCCCCAGGAAATGAACCTTACTTTGTAGCAGATGACCCTAGTCCCCAGGAAATAAACCTTACTTTGTAGCAAATGACCCTAGTCCTACTAAATATTCATAAATCATCTGTATGACAGTTTTTGGTGTGTTTTTTTGTGATGAATAAGGGTTATTACAGTTACTATAAAATAGAAAGTAATTTTCATAATCAACAACCGGACATTTACTATTACACAGGCCTGCGATTGTTTTATTGTCTTGAC